AGTGTAGGATTTTAATTTTCAAACTGAACTTAAAGTTTTTGAATTTTATTGACTTTTAAAAAATTTGAATTGTAAAACTCATCACATCACTGCTGCTTGTGGAGATAGATTTGTTTCATGATCCTACCAGGTTATAACAGCTCTCCTTCCTATCCTGCAGAAATTGGTGACCTTTTCTTAAATCTTACTCTTGTTGATTCATAAATTTGTTACATAAATTTGTTAGAGTCTTACAGTCGTCAGTCAATACCTTTTGGTTTTAGTTATTCAATAAGTCATGCATCAGTGTGGGACTTCCCTGGCAGTCCAGTGGTTAAGCCTTCACCTACCAATGCAGCAGGAGCGAGTTCAGTCTCTGGTTGGAGAGCTAAGATCCCACATGCCTCGTGGCCAAAAAACCAAGACATAAAACAGAAGCAATATTGTAACATTCAATAAAAACTTTAAAAATGGTCCACGTCAAAAAAAATCTTTTAAAAAAGTTACGCATGCGTAGAACTCTTCAATAACATAGTCTACCTCTGTACCTTTATGCAGTGGACACCATGAAGGACTTTCTCAACAGCAAAGGTCAAGATACGCTATGTCAGCACTCCCTTCTAACAGTGCCCTGAAAGGAGAAAATAAGATCAGGTTGGCCACTGTTTTTTTTTTAAACCCCATAGGTTGTTGATGCTTCTTCCCTAAATACTCACAAACTATTTGATAAAGCATTTTAGAATTCAGGTACAAATTCACATCTAGTCTGCTGTCTCTAGAATCCACCTTATTTTTCTTTTAAAAAGCTAGACAATTTTGCCTGTCTCCATTCTCAAGCATTCTCTCTAGTTTCTCAAAATTTACTGCCTGGGTTTCAGTCACGTTGGTAAATTGTGTCAGTGTCATGAGATGTCATTTGTTTAGGTCACACTCAGACTCATAAAAGGAACCCTCTGGGTGTCTCCTCACCTGTCTTCAATACCAGCTTCTCTTTTTGTTCATTCGTTAAGGGCTTCCCTAGTGGTTCAGGGTGAAGAATCTGCCTGCAATGCAGGAAACACAGGAGACACAGGTTCGATTCTGGGGTCATGAAGATCCCCTGGAGGAGGAAATAACAACCCACTCCAGTGTTCTTGCCTGGAAAATCTCATGGGCAGAGAAGCCTGGTGGGCTATAGTCCATGGGGTTGCAAAGAGTCGGACACGACTGAGCGACTATCACTTTCTTTTTCTTCCTTTTGGCTTGAAGACCTTTTTTCTTGATGTAGAAAAGTAGAAGTTGCTCAGTTGTGTGCAATTCTTTGCGACCCCATGGACTATACAATGGAATTTTCTAGGCCAGAATACTGGAGTGGGTAGCCTTTCCCTTCTCCAGGGGATCTTCCCAACCCAGGGATCAAATCAGGTCTCCCACATTGCAGACAGATTCTTTACCAGCTGAGCCACAAGGTAATCCCAAGAATATTAGAGTGGGTAGCCTATCCCTTCTCCAGGGGATCTTCCCAACCCAAGAATTGAACCGGGGTCTCCTGCATTGCAGGCAGATTCTTTACCAACTGAGCTATCACGGAAGCCCTTTCTTAAATGTTAGTAACACTCAGTTTTGCTGTGATCAAAATTGATTGATCATCACAGGAAAACTGGGTGTTAGGAGCATTTAGTTTCTTTCTATCATTGCCTCAAGTGACAGTCATATCTTCTTTTCCTTGGTCCAAAACTGAAAATTACCTAAAACAACAGATAAAAAATAGAAAGATAACAAAGGCCAGTGTTATGTTCTCTGTGATTTTCTCCAAGCTTGTCAGCATGTGCCATTCTTCTGTATGTCATATAGGAGCCTCCACTGTCTCTGGCAGCTCCTTAAGCACAGTGGAATGTAGGCCTCACACTAGGACACCCCACCAGGCAGTGGTAGGCACGCATCTTCTACGATGAGATTGGGGCCCGGAGGGGCTGTAGGGCTTGCCTATGGCCACAGCTCCAGTAAGAAAACTGGGGGATTCCAGCCCACCTCTAACTCCCAAGGTTGAGCCCTCAAGCATGAAGTCAAGGCCAAACTGGATTGTAAAACTGCTTCTTTGGTGTATGTCAGCCCCACAGATTAAAACCCTAATTTATTTAGGTCTTTAGGAACAAGCTGCTTCCAGTCTGTAACATTGCTGGGGGGATAACATGCCCCCCTATACAAGTGCTTTGGGCCTCTCTGCTCTGTCTGGCCTTCCTGGCAGACCAGAAGCTAATCCACTCTTACCTCTTTTCCAGGCTTGAGCTGTTAGCACTGATCTCCTTCCGGGCCTGATTCCTGTCTTCACTCTAATCTTTTACAAGACCAGCCTGGCCATGACTTCCACCGCCTTTCTCTGGCAGTAGCTAGTCTCCAAATGTGGGTGCTAGAACTGCTCATGCCATTGCCTGCCTTTTGATGGTGTTATAGTTGCTAAGTCATGTCTGACTCTTTGTGATGCCATGGACTGGAGCCTGCCAGGCCCCTCTGTCCATGGGGTTCTCCAGGCAAGAATACTGGAGTGGGTTGCCATTCCCTTCTCCAGAGGATCTTCCTTCATTGGCAGGGGGATCCTTTACTGTCTGAGCCAGTGGGGAAGCCCTGCTTTGCATGTAATACCTCATTTAATCCTTATACTGACATTGAAATGACACTGACACAGAATGATCTCTGTTGGTTTCCAAGGCAAACCATTCAATATTACGGTAATCCAAGTCTATGCCCCGACCAGTAATGCTGAAGAAGCTGAAGTTGAATGGTTCTATGAAGACCTACAAGACCTTCTAGAACTAACACCCCGAAAAGATATCCTTTTCATTATAGAGAACTGGAATGCAAAAGTAGGAAGGCAAGAGATACCTGGAGTAACAGGCAAATTTTATCCTTGGAATACAGAATGAAGCAGGGCAAAGGCTAATAGAGTTCTGCCAAGAGAACACATTGGTCATAGCAAACACCCTCTTCCAACAACGCAAGAGAAGACTCTGCACATGGACATCACCAGATAGTCAATACCAAAATCAGATTGATTATATTCTTTGCAGCTAAAGGTGGAGAAGCTCTATACAGTCAGCAAAAACAAGACCGGGAGCTGACTGTGGCTCAGATCATGAACTCCTTATTGCCAAATTCAGACTTAAATTGAAGAAAGTGGGGAAAACCACTAGACCATTCAGGTATGACCTAAATCAAATCCCTTATGACTATACGCTAGAAGTGAGAAGTAGTTTTAAGGGACTAGATCTGATAGACAGAGTGCCTGATGAACTATGGACGGAGGTTCGTGACATTGTACAGGAGACAGGAATCAAGACCATCCCCAAGAAAAAGAAATGCAAAAAAGCAAAATGGCTGTCTGAGGAGGCCTTACAAATAGCTGTGAAAAGAAGAGAAG